CGCGGCAAATGCGAGGGCAGCTTTTGCAACAGGAAGCTAATCGGCGCTAGATCCTTCGTCAAGGGTTACAGGGCGATGGCTGCAACTGTCGAGACGTTGTCCGTCATCGACGAAGAGGGTCACGGCACACACACGGCGAGCACCGCTGCGGGTGCTGTGGTTCCCAACGTCAGCTTCTTCGGCTACGCTAGCGGCACTGCAAGTGGAATGGCTCCCTATGCCAGGCTTGCGGCCTACAAAGTCTGCGGGAAGAATGGTTGTAGTTCAACAGATATACTCGCCGGCATTGAGGGTGCGATTCAAGATGGAGTCGACGTCCTGTCCATGTCCTTGGGTGGTCCACCCACAGTGTACTACGAGGATCCCATTGCCTTGGGAACTTTTGCGGCCATGGAAAAGGGGATCTTCGTCTCGTGCTCGGCCGGAAACTCCGGCCCAGGCGAGAGTACGGTCTCGAACGGCGCACCTTGGATTATGACTGTCGGCGCCAGCACAATCGATCGGAATTTCCCGGGTTACGTCACTCTAGGAAACAACAAGAGCTTCACCGGTGTGTCGTTGTACAGTGGGAAAAGCATGGGGAAAGAGTTGGTTGAACTAGTCTACGGAAATCTATGCAAGCCGAGGTCCCTTGATGCCGCCCAAGTGAAGGGCAAGGTGGTGGTTTGCGACAGAGAAAACAACCACCTTGCGCGGCTGCAAAAAGGGGCGGTGGTGAAATCAGCTGGAGGCATGGGGATGATACTGGCCAACACGAAGGAAAGCGGTGGGGAAGGGCCGGTGGTCGATAGCCACGTTCTGCCGGCGGTAGCGGTCGGGCTGTCGGCGGGGAATGAGATAAGAAACTACGTGAAAACGGACAAGAATCCGATGGCAGTGTTGAGCTTCGGGGGAACCATGGTGAATGTGAAGCCGGCACCGGTTGTGGCAGCATTCAGCTCGAGGGGCCCGAACAACGTGACGCGGGAGATCCTGAAGCCGGACGTGATCGGGCCCGGTGTCGGCATCCTTGCTGCGTGGACGGAGGCTGCGAGTATCTCGGGGTTGCCCAAGGACCCTAGGAGAAGCCCGTTCAACATCATATCAGGTTAGTATCCATTACCAACAAATTTCAATTATCAGAATCTTTGTCAATGAGTCATGAGTACAAAGATTAATAATGTTAGAGAAAGAAAAAAAAATAAAAAAAAAAATGACATTTTTCAAAACAATGACTCGTGATCTAATTTTGCGAGCAGGTACGTCCATGTCGTGCCCGCACATAAGTGGGCTGGCGGCCCTTGTGAAGGCGGCCCACCCGGACTGGAGCCCGAGCGCGATCAAGTCGGCCCTCATGACCACAGCCTATACACTCGACAACAACAACAACTCCCCCATCAGTGATGCCAACGACAAGTCCAACGCAACCCCACACGCCATGGGCGCGGGCCACGTGGACCCGATCAAAGCCCTCTCCCCGGGCCTCGTGTACAACACCACCCTGAACGACTACCTCGCCTTCCTATGCTCCCTCGGCTACAGTCCGAAGGATATCCAGACCATCACCAAGAGCAGGAATCTAACGTGCGCCAAACTGAAGTCCAAGTTCAAGAGCCCGGCCGAGCTCAACTACCCCTCTTTCTCCGTGTTGTTTAATAACGCCAGGGTCGTGCGTCTGACTAGGAAGTTGACCAGCGTGGATCCCGGTTTGTCGGTTTACAATGTCTTGGTCAAGGCGCCCCCGAGTGTGAAAGTGACCGTGAACCCGACAAGACTTGTTTTCAAGGACGTCGGGGACAGTTTGAGTTATACGGTTACATTCCGGTCGGAAAGTGTTTCGCATGAGGATGCCTTTGGCTCGATTTTGTGGAACAATGAGAAGCACACGGTGACGAGCCCGGTTGCATACTCATGGCATTGAGAATTTGAGATCCTTTCATGTACCATAGGTTATGTGTGGGCATCTTGCGGGGAGAGTTCTATGTGGTATGCTGGACCTGAAGAATAAAGTTTTTTGTTTTTTTTTTTTAATATATGCAATTTACAAATGGTAATTTAATATAAATTGGTCCTCCAATTGACTAATTAATGTGCCATGGTATCTCGATATACAAACGTGTTGAGGCTTGCGACGCGTGAGACCACAATTTAATCTTACTTTTTTTTTTTTTTT